GTGGCTGTCCGGTTCTAGTGACAAGTAGTCAATGCACACCAACTCCATGGGGCGAGTTGTGTGGATATTCACAAGGGGTGCTGACCTTTCTGGCTTTGTCTTCCTTCGGACACAACGCCCACATGACTTGATCTTTTTTTCCACATCTGCAGCCAATTTAGGCCAGTAGAACCTTGTTCTAACCAAGTCAAGGGTTCTATCGAAACCCATATGTCCCATATCCTCATGTAAGGACTTGAGAATTGAAGCACGAAGAGACTTGGGAGCAACAAACTGGTAAGTAACATCATCTCCTGTTTGACGCGTTCTATACAAAAGACCGTTTCTCATCTCCAACCTTTTCCTTCCCTTGAGCATCAGCTTGAGCTCTAAGGACTCAGGAGAGAGGTTGGCCTCATCTCCTCCTTCCAAGACTTGGAGAACCTGTCCGATGATTGGGTCAGCCCTTTGATGTTGCTGGAGCTCTTCTGTACTGTAGGTGGGTATGGTAGAGCAACCTAACATGTTTTCATTTCCATAAGTGTCTGGAATCGCATCCGGATGGATGGCAAGGGATTCAACCAATGTGATGGAAGGTAGGTCATCAACTACCTGAGGTAAAAGACGGTGTTGACATAACACAGCAACTGCGTCTACAGGCAAGCTTTGTTGATCTGGAGATGAAGAAAGATGGTGAAAAGCAAACTTTTTGATTCGCTCCTTCTCTTCAAGGGATGCATGATCATCTGCTATATTGTCATGCGGCCGTCTAGAAAGACCATCGGCATCCTGGTTGCTCTTCCCAGCACGGTATTTTATGTCAAAGTTGAAGGTCGAAAGAGCTGCTAGCCAGCGATAACTGGCAGCATCTAGTTTGGCTGACTTTAGTATATAGGTCAAAGGATTGTTATCCGTTATGACAGTGAACGTATTACCATAAAGGTAATCATGAAACTTCTCAACAATCGACCATTTAAGAGCTAGGAATTCTAGCTTATGCGCGGGATAACGTTTTTCACTGGATGAAAGGCCTCTGCTCGCATAAGCAATGACTCGCATTTCACCATCCTGTTCTTGGTACAGGGCAGCCCCTAGACCTGAAGTGCTGGCATCAGTATGGAGCACATATTGTAGTTTTGGGTCAGCAAAACCAAGGACAGGTGCAGATGTGAGTTTTTCTATGATCAGGTCGAAAGCTTTTTGACATTCAGGAGTCCAGCGCTCATTAAAGGGCTCTTTGGGGTTGAAGTACGCTCCAGGGTTAGATGTCTTTTGGCCCTTTCGGTAAGGTGGGTAGCCGCTGGTAAGATCATTCAGGGGTTTGACTATTTTAGAATAGTCTCTGACAAAGCGGCGGTAGTACCCCGCAAAGCCTAAAAAAGACTTGAGATCACCAAGTGTTTGGGGCCTAGGCCAGGTGCGGAGAGCACTGACCTTATCCGGGTCAGTCTCTACTCCTCTGCTAGAAACAATGTGTCCTAAATACCGTACAGAGCTCTGGAAGAATTGGCATTTTTTGGGAGAGAGTTTCAAGCCATTTTCTCTTAGTTGCTGGAGGACATGTTTAAGCCTAATTTCATGCTCTTCTAACGTGTCAGAAAAGACGATGATGTCATCCAAAAACACCAGTACTTCCTTCAGATTAAGGCTCCCCATGACTCGTTCCATCAGTCGTTGGAAGGTACTGGGGGCATTTGTGATGCCTTGGGGCATGCGGTTGAATTCATAGAACCCCAAGGGACACACAAAAGCGGTCTTGTGCTTATCGCGTTCCTCCATCTCATTTTAAGTCCATTACTGAGAACCATTTGGATCCAGCAAGAACTGAAAAAACTTCCTCAGGATTTGGCAATGCGTATGCATCCTTGATTGTCAGTGAATTGAGTTTGCGGTAGTCGATGCAAAGACGGACCTCCCCATTCTTTTTACGGACTACCACTATTGGGGAAGCGTAAGGGGACTCTGACTCGCGAATCACCCCTGCATCTAGCAGTGTTTGCAAATGTTTTCTGACAGCCTCATAGTCGTTTGGTGGATTGGTCGGGGCCTTTGTTTAAATGGGGAGTCGTCTTTTAGATTTATATGGTGCTTTACTTTGGTTGCATGCCCAAAATCATTCTCATCACAGGCAAAAACATCACGATACTCATTCAAATTGCACGTCACTCTATCTCTCCACTCTTTTGAAAGGGGAGAGTCACCAAAGTCACTACTAAAGTCAGACTGGTCTGTACTTTTGGCTGGTTTGGAAGTGCCAGCACAACATTTCACAGGGTCAGTTGGTTTGTCTGAGTCAGGTAAGTTATCGTAGACCTGTTCGGGAGTATGAAGTTCAGCAATGACACAATTTGAGGGGAGTGTGACATTGTGCTCATTCTCATTTCTGACCCACACGGGTAGTATGTGGGGACAGTGTCTGGGCAGAGTGATAAGGCAGCATTCTACAAACACTCCACCAGGTAAGGCAGAAGACTGAGGCTGCTCAACTATGGCACAGGCACCTGGGATGTTGGCATTCACATATCCTTCTACACAGACTCTTGTTTTAGCAGGTAAGATTTGGTGCACTTTATCTTTTAGAGTAGCTAACCCTATTCTTCCCGTAGAGTTAACTTTGTTTCTGAGCCTGAGTACACGAATAATCTGCCTGTAACCATATACAGAGGACAAGTCGTTCAAGTCTTTATCAATACAATGTTCTTCATACAAGGTATCTAGAGCGTTTGTGCCAATGAGTACAGGTAAGTCACAGTTACTATGGCGGTCTGGTACTACTAGGGCTAGGGTTGTTATTTCAGGCTCAGCTTCAACAAATTCTCTGGGGAACTTGAGTGTGATAGGTACATAGCCTAAATAAGGCACCTTTTGGCCGTTAGCCCCTTCAACATCCAGGCCCTGGAAGGGCTGGATGGGGTGTTCTGACAAGTGGGTTCTTGAAAAAGACGCAGTTACTGTGGTAACCTGGGACCCTGAGTCAAGGAGACAACTTGTGTTAACTCCTGACACACTGACATCGGCAACACATTTCTGGCCCACAAGACCTCTGGGGAGCTTAATTTGGGGGTCTACTTTGTGTGATTGAATAATTGTTTTTCTTGTATGCTTTGGGTTGGGACTGTCATTCTCAATTCCAGCTCCTGGTCGTCCCGCAGCAGGAACTGCGTTTAGTTTAAACTCCGCTCCCAGGATTCTTGTTTTTGCTTTAGCTCTTTGCGTTTCTTTTCAACTAATTCGGGATTTGGCTCGTTGTTGCAGGAAGGCGCAATGTGGCCGTCCTCACCACACCTGAAACAGTACCATGGGCGAGGCTTCTTGTTGACCAGCTTCGGTTCTGAAGAAAGCGAAGGATTTCCTTCGGAAGGGACTTTGGGCTTAGCCTTTTGTTTCTTACCTGGCTTTGCAACCAATTGGTTTGAACTTAGAGACGCTTTAAGAGAAGCTATTTGGGCTTGTAGTTTTGCCATTTGTATTCCAAGTTTCCGTGGGTCAGATGGGGCAGCCTTTATTTCATCATCATCATCAGTGGTGTAGTCTTCCACTGAGACTGTGTTTGACTGGACTTTTATTCTGTTTGCTCCAAGATGCTGCTTCATCCTGCTGGACTTAGCAGCTTGTCTGTCCTCCTCAGAACGTACCGAAAGCAGTAACTCTGAAAAGGGGGGAGGATTATTCTTCCTCTGTTCAAGCTGAAGGCTGGTAAGTAGACTGTTATTCCAGCAGCCTCTACAGAACTGCTTAAGCAGCTGGCGGTCTGAATCACCTGCAGCTAACCCATTTCTTTTGATAACCTTACTCAGGATTGTCTGCAAGCGCTGCAAATAGCCAGAAGGCTTTTCTCCAGGGCCTTGATTCGTGTTCAAGAACTTTGCAAAAAGCTCATCACCGTCATCAATGATGCCATAAGCAGAGTCCAGAAGGGCAAGATATTCATGGGGGGAAGCATTGGGCCCGAGATGTTTCACAATGGTGGCCGCAGGTGGAAAGAGACTCTCAACTATTTTCCTGGTTACATGTGTAGCAGACATAGCAGGGTCTGCAAGGAAAAACTCAACATTGTTGCGCAACATGTCATAATCAGACTCTGAATTGGGACAGGGAATTCTTCCTGAAAAGGGTCTGAGTCGAGTGCTGCCATGATAGTGCAAAGGAAGATCACTGTTCTTAATGACATGCTCAACCACTACTCTTTGTATTTCTGGGGTTGAGAGATGCTCGGGAGATAAGTTCTGAGTCCGGTTACTACATGGGGATGCTTCAACTTCCTTGCGTGGGGGTGCATCAGGCTCAGGGGAAAGCGTCAGGTTGTCACCTACATTCAGGGGAGTTCTGTCAGCTATGTCCACAGCACTAACATGCTGATGTTCATGTCTAACCGCTGATGCATCTGGTTCAGCTTTCCTAGTTCTAATGGATGCTTGAATCCTAGCTAGTTCATCTAGCAAAACCTTCTCAAAATCTGCTCCACTCAACTGAGCAACATCCCTTAGTTCAGTTAAGTAAGTCTGAGTTAAGGTAGAACCTCTGTCTGCTGTGTAGAGCTCGGACAAGAGCTGAATGTGGTGGACAACTTCCGGGTTACTGGAGGGCCTATCAACAGGTAAGGTATCTTTAAGATACTCTATAGTTAGCCCTGAGCTGTATTCCACTATAGCTGTGTTTTGGAACCTAGCCTGACTGCTCGTAACATTAATTACTCTTTCAATCTTACCATACTGTCCCAAATAGTCAAATACTTCATTGTCTACATCCCTACCAGTTACACCACTCACTAGCAATGAGTTAAGCACTTTAACATTTTCAGATGCAACTGTATCCATGCTTGTATTTGTACCACAATGGAAATATATGAAAGTTAAATTATATTAATGTTCACAGAAAAATGCAAAAATGTCACACTGCTCAACTTCCTGTTCAAAGGATTTAACCAACTCCTGGCTGGCTCGCCAAGTTTAATGTAGCACTCTTAACCTAAATGTAAGAAAGAAATCACATTCTCTAGGTTCAGAAATTTGGACTCTGAGTGGAAGTTGAACAATGATTATTTATTGCACCAAACAGGTATTATAACTTCTTTTTATACAAAGAATTAGGGGGGGAAAAACCCAACAAAATAGAGCTCTTTGATAACAAAACAAAAATAGAAAAAAAAAGTTCAAATAAAAGTGTCCTTTTCTTCTGTGTCAGGAGAAAAAGCTTAGATCCTTGTGGTGTGTGTGTGTGTCTGTTTATATATTCTTCTACTACCCGGGTAGTTTTTTTTTTAATTGTTTCTATTGAGCGCGCTTATCTGTATCAGAGAAGTTGGTAGATTTCTGTAGTCCTCGTGGAGTGGATCCCGTTCTCCGCTTCCTGTCGCCTGGCTCGCCACTGAACCACAGAAGGTTCAGAATTCATGCAGATCGACTCCTGATCCAGCAGAAAAATAAAACCAATCTACACACGGGGTGTAGAAAGATACTTCCATTAATACTATGTTCATCTACTACTCTTACTCTGATTCTCTGCATTGTCATAGCCAATTAATTGTAAATATTGGTCTACAACATAAGTAGTGTTATGTTAACACAATTAAACATTAAGAACTTTTATTCTTAACATAAATGAACTTCTTCCTCTTTTTTAAAGCAGTATTTATATCAATACCCAGCCTTTAAATCAATATTTATTTATTTTTTTACTAAATCTTTATGAGTTTGAACAACCACAATGAAATAGATAGCATTATGTACACAAAACAGTACATTAGAACAATTTCTTACATCTCACTATCACATTTATCTCTCTCTCTTTGTCTAATGACATAGTAGCAGAGGAGGCTATCTGTGCTAGCATAGCAGCTACCCGCGATTAGCGTTAGCACGCTAATTAGCTATCTCTTTAGTTATTATTTCACCTAACAAAATGATACACAGTACAATGGTGGGTCACACATTGGATAAAAAAACTCCGACTGGTTTTATGGAACTGTCTCAGCAACAACATCTTCACATGTCCTAACTCCAACAAGCTAATAACCGAAGCCTAGCATCCTACCACTTAGCCTAACTCTTACCGGAGTTCAGAGGGCTTAGATGTGGTTGAAGTAGTTCTTCTCTCTTCCTCAAGGCTCATAAAATCTTCTTTATCCGGTTTATTAGCTCAACAGATGATTTTTTTCTCAGTTTGTGTATCAGCAGTGAGTGTAGCTTGGTCCATCAGTGTGATTTCACATGCTCAGTGGCAGGAACCTAATCCAATGCGCCACCATGTGGCGGAGATCATAACTACCGTTGTGTTCTCAAATAACATACGTGGGTCTAGTAACCATGTGGGTTACATCTTTAATACCTGGCGGGGACAATTTCCTAGGAATATGCTACATTTTGGGGACTCATAGGTACTTGTGGGGACCAACAACTGGTCCCCATTAGGAAAGTTTCTCTCCTTGGGGTGGGGGTTAGGTTTAGGACTAAGGTGTGAATTGAGTTTAGGTTAGGTTTAGGGATAGGTATGTGTCGGTTAGGTTTAGGGATAGGTATGTGTCGGTAATGGTTAGGGTTAGGGCAAGGGTCACGGTTAGGCCATATAAATTAGTGGGAAATGAATGGAAGTCAATGGAAGGTCCCCACAAGGATATTGTGACACAACATGGGTGTGTGTGTGTGTTTTCTTATTAAATATTTTCTTATTCTTACGTTCTTCCAAAAATCCACTGCAGTATTTAGTCATTCCTTCTTCTAAGTGAAGAAGCATCTTTAAAGTTAGAAAGCTGCAATGTGAGGCGGGAAAATAGAAAACACTGAATAGATTTCCCCCTTCGTTTCTGGTCAGCCAGCAGCATTTAGTTAACATAGAAACAATCGATTTCACCTGCAAACGTCCGTCAGCTTTCTGATGGTGCAAAACAACCAAACACTTTCTATCAGGATCTTTTCTATATTAAGTTATATTTACAGATTACAGACCGGCAGGTTTTATAAAAAGCTTTAAATGAGGCGATTAGCTACGTCAGGTAGCTGCTACTACGCTGGAGGTGAAGAATAGACAACACCTACACTGCTGCAGACAGATTTAGATGTAATTATTTTGTGCTTGAATGTAAATATCTATAAACGGGATTAAATGCAACAGCAGCAGCTATGGAAACCCAAACCTACAGAAGAGGATTAGGGCCACTGAAAAAAAAAAAAAGTTAACTGATTTTTAAATTTTATTTCAGTTGAACATGGGAAAAAAGTCAGAATTCTGACTTTAATCTCAAAATTCTGACTGAATTCTGAGAAAAAAAAGTCAGAATTCTGACTTTTTCCCCATACTATACTGAAATAAAATAAAAATAAAACTGTTATTTTTTTTTTTAGTGGCCCTAATCCTCTTCCGTACAGACCTGCTACATATTCAGTAATTAAAAACCTGACGGGGGGACGACTGGGGGCACATGGTGCAAGATTTTACTCCATCTCTACAATGTTGCCTTTCCTCTTTTATTTAAACTTCCTGGGTAACATCAGGGGGTTGAAATAAATAAAATAAAAAATAAATCTAAATAAATAAGTAAATAAACATCAGAGGGGTAATGACCCTAATGTTACCTTATTGCCTCTTTTTTTTATCTGGGGAGGGTTTCTGGTAGCCAGGTAAATTTTTAAGCTTTTTCTTCTTTGCACCTTTTTTATTTTCTCACATGAAATACAGAATAAAAAAAATCAAGTAGATTGTTTTTAGTTAAAAGAGGTAAAGTTTGTAGGATGTTGAGTATAAAATGCTTCATGCCAGTTTGTCTGCTGCAGCAAAGCTCCATCAGTCAGTGGCTTAAAACATAACATCTTTGTTATGTTTGTTATTTCTTTACAAACTGCATTTCTCTTTCTTGCTGAAACTCCTGTGAAGGTTATAAATTTGCGCGTCTCTCGTGTTCCTGAAAGGTTGCATCATCAGGGTGAAGATAACGGCGCCGTTGTCCTTCAGACTGACAGTGCAGCCTAGTGGTAAAGAAACAGAGCCTCACACATCAGATCAGCAATAAAACACCAACAGAGCTGAACTTTGTCAAACAGCACACCTTGCTCTGCCCCCGCCTGTTGCTGTCTTCCCTGTTGTAGTTTCTAAAATTTCTCAAAGGCTCGATGTTCCTCTGGAAACGTGGCGGATGAGCCATTATGGGGTCAAACAGGGACCCTCTGTGTGTCCGAGGCTCCTGAAGGAAGAGGAGTTCAGGGTTTGGCATCTATCTGCATCAAACGGGCCAGCTGCATTTGCTTTCACTCTCTACATTCACTGAACTTACTGATGGAAACCAAAGCATGTTAACTTAACGAGCTGCAACAATGGAGGAGATCCAGCAGCTCGGTTCAAAGCTCAGAAAGACCCTGAAATAACGTCAGAGTTCAGAAACAGGCTGAAGATTGTTATTATTACACTATAAGACGTCATATGAACACGCAGATGTAATGAATATTAATTCATGTTGACATTTGGCTGCGTCTACGGAAGAGGATTAGGGCCACTGAGAAAAAAAAAAGTTAACTGATTTTTAAATTTTATTTTTTTATTTTAGTTTAACATGGGAAAAAAGTCAGAATTCTGACTTTTTCCCATGTTAAACTAAAATAAAATAAAAAAAATCTGTTAACTTTTTTTTTTCTTCAGTGGCCCTCAGTGGCGGCTGGTGAAAAATATTTTTGGTGGGGCTGATATAGCCTAGTGTATGTCTCCAACTAATCCAGAATAAGAATTCAAATAAACAATTGGAAATGAAATACAATTTAACAGTAATGATTTAATTTACTATATAATAACAGTAACAGTGATGATTTGGGTCACTGTGACGGGGTTCTTTGGCCTCCAAGAATCCAGGCTCAGTCGGGTTACCGGTGTTGGTGATTTATTGAGCTCAAAAACTCAAAACAGGGTGCAAAAGAAACTAAACATACAAGATCCTCTGGGCCTCAGCCTCCCTCCAGTTACCAGCAATGGAACAAAGAAACAGAAAACAAAAATGGCCGCTCTTCTTTCCACAGCCCTCATTAAATAGTTTAAGCCCCTCACCTCAGGCTCTCTTATTTCAGATTTCTTCTCATTAATCAGTTTTGTCCATATATTACCTCCACAAACAATTGATGTACAAAAACAAATCATTTTTACAACTTAATTCTTTTACACAGATTCATTGACTTATTCAATTACACCAAACTGGGTTTGAACCCAGCAAAGACGCAGCCAGACTGAAGATGACAAGTCCCCGCATAAACACGTACACCCCCCCCCCCCCACACCCACACACACACACACACACACACACACGGCTAACCCCACTGAAATATTAAGTGTGCACCCTCAATACGCCAGCAGGTAACCAGGAACAGCTTGTGTGTTTTAAGTTCATGGAGCTACTGGGCTCAGCGCGAGTGTATTGGTCCTCACAAACACAGTATAACAGGAATGTGTGTGTGGCGCGCAAAGTTAGAGAGGTTGTTTTAAGCGACGAGGTGGATTCGTCACAGTCACAAAAACCATGACAGGAAATTTTCATATCCTACAACAGGGATGTTCTTCTGGCAAACGGGTAGATAAATAAGGATCTCACCGAATTTGGTGGAAGCTGCATCTCGTTCGTTACATTCGCCATCGTCCCTCTGATTGTCTGCACCTGCGCTTGGGTGCAGAAGCCTGTTAAAGCGCAGTATTTTCAGCGCCCCAAGACCATACATTTTTGAGACGCTGATTGGCCATTAAATTATTAAATTCACCTAGCAATAGTACATGATTGGCAGATTCTGTGCAAATGTGGGGCTGTCTGATCAGCGCCCCCAGAACAGAGACGGTAGGAGTCTGTCTGTGGAAATCCACAAATGAATGACAGTAGATAGGGAAATGTAGTTTATATCATTTGTTTTGCTTATAGGTACACACTCTAGAGAGTAAAACTGACATTTATGAGTTAATTTCTAAAAATATATTTTACGTTTCTCTCCTCTTATCAGGGAGGGCGGTGCCCCAGCGCCCCCTATGGGCCGGCCGCCACTGGTGGCCCTAATCGTCTTCCGTAGCGTCGGCGATCACCTTAATTATTCAGTGTTTAAAGTTTACTATAGCATTAAATAAATCCATCAGTAAAAGGTGAAAGAATAACTATTCTTTAATTCATTCGGACTCGATTATTCTAAGATAGAACTGAAATTGGCTTTTATAAAATATAAATGGCTAGAAGTCCCCATGGTGACTCTTAAAGGTGTTAATTAATGCAGGTTTCTGTTTTTGTTTCTGTTGGTTCCAACTTTATTGATCTAATTTTGGAGAAAATCCCTCTCTACCCCTCTCCTGGGGTAGCAGTGGGCTGCCATAGTGTGGCGCCCGGGGAGCAGTGTGGGGTTAGGGGTCTTGCTCAGGGACCACCGCTCCGCCTAAACAGACTGTAGATCATTAATAAGAAGACTTAGATCTGCTGAATGATGTTCTGCCTCTGCTGAAGTCTGTGAAGGTGAGGAAGTGTGACGTCAGACACCAACTGATGGAGACGCGTCCATCGATCGGGGGTGGGGGGGGGGGTGGGGGGGGGTGGGGGGGGCAGAGTAACTATTGATCACTGATCGCCTGCAGGCATGATGCTGCCTGTCTGGAGCCACCTATATGAGTTGATCAGGCAGGTGGTGACCGGCCAGCTCTGATTGGATACTGAACCCCCCCCCCCCCCACCGACAGCTCGGCTAAAGTCCGTGCGCGCGGTCGTGTGCGCGCGTGAAATGAAGCCGCCAGACTGAAGAGGCAGCTTGTGACTTCAGGTCCAATGAGCTGGCAGCCAGACTCACGCAGACTCTGCTCCAACGAGCGCGCGCTCCGCCACTCTGGGAGCTGAGGAGCAGCAGAGGAGCAGCAGAGGAGCAGCTGAGGAGCAGCAGAGGAGCAGCTGAGGAGCAGCAGAGGAGCAGCTGAGGAGCAGCAGAGGAGCAGCAGAGGAGCAGCAGAGGAGCAGCTGAGGAGCAGCAGAGGAGCAGCTGAGGAGCAGCTGAGGAGCAGCAGAGGAGCAGCAGAGGAGCAGCAGAGGAGCAGCAGAGGAGCAGCTGAGGAGCAGCAGAGGAGCAGCTGAGGAGCAGCTGAGGAGCAGCTGAGGAGAAGGAGCGGAGGAAGGAGAGGCTGAGAGGAGCATGGCATCAGATCCAGGCTTTGCTGCGATGCTGCTGCTCCTGTTTTCTCTCCAGACTCTGAGCGCATCAGGAAGCAACAGCAATGAAGGTTAGTTGCATGAGTCTGATCCACCGGCAACTTACTCACATGCATGTTTGCGTTTCCAAACTCATCTTTAAAATCTGTCATTGCATCGATTTAGCCGCC